TAATTAAATATTAATAATGATTTTATTTAATATCCTATTTCTAATCTTAAAACAATTCTATATTTTCTTTATAATTTCCATCTATAAAATCCCTTTCTATCAGGCCCCTCTATACACTTACTCAAATAAATTCATTTTTATAAAAATAAAAAGAATAAGTATGATTTTACAGATAATAATTAATATATAAATAAAAAAGATTAAAAGAACTTCTTTTATTTATTAAATTAATAAAGAAATCATAATTTTATAAGTAATTGAAAAGTAATTAAATAAAACTATATTTTCAAATTAAAAACCAAACAAAGAAGTTTTCTCTAAACCAATAAATCTAAAAAAAACTAAAAAGATAGTTTTTATAAATAATAATAATTATAGTTGAATAAAATATAATAATAAAAACTGAATAATTTAAATCAAAATATTAATTAAATCCCTAATTAAAAGTAATAAAAAAAAAAAAAGAATAATAATAAAATAAAAGATGAAATAATGACTAACCATAACTTAAATAATAATAAAAATAAGTCTATATTTAGTTTTCTTTACCCATACTCATATAGCTAATAAATCAGCTTTTATTTAAATCAAAACTAATTAATATTATTATTCTAACTTTTTTCTTTACTCTATTACTTCTTTTATTTAATAATTTATATTTTTTTAAATTAAAATAATTGAAAATATTTCTTTTAAAATACAATATTTTAGATTTTTTTGTAAATCAAATTATTTTAATAAAATTAATTTTATTAAAACTCAGTAAAGTTATAATTTACTTTTATTATATTACTATATTTAGTAATAGCTAATTAATATTGAAGAAATAGATTACAAATCTATTTTTTAAATAAATACTTATATTTATATTTTGTAATTAAATAAAATAAACAACAAATTTAATTAAAAGTTTAACTAGGAATATAATAGTATATCATTATCTTTTTTCAAATATACAGCTACAAATACAGTCAATATAAATCTAATTATTTTTCTAAATATATTATTCCTGTAAAAGCACCATCTTCTTAGGTAATCTTTTACTAAACAATTTGAATTCATTAATATTCTAATAATAAGGCTTATATTCAAATATATAATCAAATTAATTCTAATATAAAACTTTTATAATTTCCTTTTTGATTATTTTTTTCCTCTTATTTTCAATATTATAAAAATAATGTATTATTAAGATTAATTTATTAGTAAACTTCTATTTATAATTATTTATATAATCAATTAAAGAATTATATTTTTTCTTTAAGTTTTATTTTAATAAATAATAAAACGAATATATCCATTATATATATTAAAGATTAATTCTATTTTCAAGTATATTATTCTTAATAATTATAATTATATTTATTAAATAAATCAACTATATATTAGAGATAGATAAAAAAAAAACCTATTTATATATCTTTTTTTAATTAGAATTATTATTCTTGCGATTATCCTCCTCCTTAATATTATTATTATATTTGCCTTTATTTAATTCCTTCTTAATAGAATACTTGTCTTATATAATAGAAGAAATAGTCACTCTCTTCACTATAAACTATAAGAAAAGTATATCAAATAAAGCAAATGAAAAGGGTAGTAAACAATTCATCGCTATATACACTGCTTTCTATTACTTTATCTATACTAATAACAATTTGCCCTTGTTATTATATCTTTTTGAAAATATAATAAATATATTAATTAAGAATTAATAAAAGAATAAATAGTTAAAAAAGATTTTAAAAAAAAGGGAATTAGAAAGATCTATATACTTTAAAGAATTCGATTATTATTAAATTATAAAACAATTTCCTTTATTTTCTATACATTTTTTTATTACAAAAAAAGAAAAATCCATATATATATATGTTTATTATATTATTCTATAATATAAATAATAATATCTTATTAAAATTGCTAATATATATATAGAATAGGTAATTTTAAAGTTTAAGAGTAAGCTTTTTTGAAAAAGGGAATAGTATTATAGATTATATCCAATTGTAATTATAATCGCTTATGTGTATACTTACGCATGTATTTGATTATATATATATAGCTAATATATAAAAGCGTTTTATAAATACTTTACTCTTGATTCTATAATTATAGATTCTAAGGATAAATTGTACCCTGCTCTCGCAGTTCTTCTAAGGCAAAGTATCATAGATATCAGTTATAAAACTTTTTAAATAAATAAAATATTTAAAAAGGATTTCAGAAATAAATTATTTATAAGATTTCTAGAATAAATAAAATATCTTCAAATAAATATCAAAATAATTTATTAATAAGATTTTTATAATAAATAAAATATTTTCAAAGATATATCAAAATAATTTATTTATAAGATTTTTAAAATAAATAAAATATTTTGAAAGAAATATCAAAATATTTTATTAATAAGATTTTTATAATAAATAAAATATTTTTAAAGATATATTAAAATAATTTATCTATAAGACTTTTATAATAGATAAATCATTTGAAAAGGATCTTATAAATAAAATATTCATAAGAGTTTTATAATAAATAATCTTTTTCAAAGAATATTTTAAAATAAATAAGTTATATAATTTCTATTATATAATTTATTTAAATAGAATTATTAAAATAAATTATAATTAACTATTTTTAATAAATAAACTATTTTTAGGTAATTTTGAAAATAAATTAATTATGAGTATTATGAAATTATTTCTAGAAATATTTAGAAATTTTATATAATAATATAAGAAATAGATATTAGATTAAATATATAATATTTTATAGGGAAATTAAAGATAATATTATATAAATTTATTATATATAAGCAAAAATAATTCTAATTGAAAAAGGTAATATAATAATTAACAATATCTAATTTCTTATTGAATTAAGTCTATAATATTATAAATCCTATTTTTAATTAATTATAACTTTTGCTATAATATTTCAATAAAGAAATAATTATTATTATTCAATTTATTGAATCAAGGCGAATCAAATGATATCAAAAAAAGCAAAATATTTTTTCCAACCTTGGTCTAATCTTAATCCCATATTTGTTGTTCAAATTATAGACTATAAGAATATAATTAAACAAAACGGCACAGTCTATAATGTTCATATAATATTTGCGTTTCTCTCATAAGATGTATACAAATAGAAGTGAGAGGGGAACAAATTTGATAGAACAACTAGTAACTCCTTTACAGATTCAAAATTGAAGTTCCTTCTCTTATATTACTCCACATCTACATGCTTTCTAGGCCTATCGCCCAGGCTAGTTCTCTATATCTCCTCAGTTTGCTTTCTCCACTAGCGCTTCTAATGACGAACAACGGTGTGGCGTATTTGGTCTAATTATTCAAATATTGTTAAGTAATCAATTTTTACAATTGGAAAGCGAAAAGCTTACTGTCGATAGAAATAGTAGCAAAAGTATCCGCTAAAGGATATCTGGGACAAAAGTATGCTATGTGCATTTGATTTGTCGATATTGATGAACAACGGTAATACAAGTGAGAAGAGAAGGATAGGCGAAATGATATATGGCAGGGACTGCTCAATTTTAATGAATAGGGGTGGCAATTGGATTTCTCTGTAATCAATTAGGTTCAATATATGTTTGGGTGTTCAATTCTCAAACTGATCGGGGATAAGTGAGAACTCACGGCATTTTAATAAAATATTGAATATAGTGCTTTATTTGATTGAGTGAATAATGATACTTGTAGAGATGTAATATATATATATAGCTCAGGTCTGCTTAAATGACAAGCTAGACAAATAAGCTATTATCGGCGAAATCTATACAAGAATTGCTCCGCTTGGGACCAAAGTCACCAACTGTTGGAGAAAACTTTTCAAACATCGGGCAAAAAATGGAGTTACGAACTTCCTAATTTCAAAGAAATCTACTCAATGGTACTTACAGCACGTAGATAAATTACGGGACACAAGAGCATCTGACGTATAAGCCGAGCTAAGCTAAGCTTTGTGGGGTTTAAGCTTCCCAGCTTAGATTAAGATCTGTTTAAATTAATTGAATCAGTTGATGTAACGGATAACAATTTTTACCCGGAAACCCGTTTTTGTAGAATTAAGCTTAGTCTCTCGGGTGAACACGATATGCATCCGACTGGATCCAATTAAGCCTGGACCCGCTAGTTAGTTCCACTCAGGCTCGCCTTATCGGCGTAATTAGGCGAAGCACTTTGTTCAAAGCATCGAGAAAGACAGTCACAAGAGACAGTCATATTTCAAAATTATATCTTAAGTCAATTGATTGCTACTCTGATGTGAGATTCAGATAGAGTCCTTTGACATATTGCATGTTGATGTTTATCCAGATTCCCTACATTCGCTTCATAATTAGTGATACAATGCAGTATTGAAGTGAAGAAGCTTTCATTGTTATGTAATTTTGGAGAGGTTCGATCAGTCCCCTGTCTTTCTATGGAGTGGTGGCCTAAGTTGTTCGGTGGATCTAAAGCTCAGCCAACAACTTGGTCCGGGCCGCCTGCACTCACATGTGAGTGGGGATAGAAGGTGTAGTTAAAAGGCGTTGCATGACTCATTAGTTATCTAGGTGGGGTATAACAGAGATTGATAATTGTATCATACTTTTAGATCAATAAAACTCGTTCCTCACTTGTAAAACTTGTTTTCCGGCATCTATTGTGACAACTCATCAACAAGAACTCGCACTTAGCTTTTCTATGCCCTCGTTCTTACGAGGCCGAAGCTTTTTTACAGAACTTCCATTTTCTTCTGATTGGAAATAAAGTGAATAAGAAACGGTGAAAACTCCATAGTAATATTACATGTGTCTCAACTAGCACGTGACAAATCGAAATTGAGTTCTTTGTCACCATCACTAAGCTTATAGGGAGAATCTTATTGAAAAGTTATTTAGGGTTAGTTCTTGTTGGTAAATTGGTCCAGATATTGCAACACCACTGGACTTTTCACATGCAAATAGGGAACTACAGCCCTTATCGGAAATCATTCCTCTTATATTATAGCTCTCAAAGTATACCGAAATCTAACAGACTTATTACCCTCTTCTTTTTGTTATATAATTTGTGTTTACTGAATTGTTTGCTTTGATATCCGGTAAAGGTTGTGCTCTGTAAATATATCAGTGTTGGCTCATGCGAAGGAGTGGAGCGCGTATCTATGTAGGCGGAAGTTTATCTAAATGCCCATGCAAGAAGAGGCTCACCTCATCAATGGTTGGATGTGGGGCACTCGGAAGAATCATCCGTAGACAGTGGTTAAGTGGTTCATTGAGGAGCAGAGTTTTGGAAGCAGAACTCAAATTTCAACGGACTAGTTTTCTCCCTGGCTAGGTATTTGTACATATAATGTAAATATAATCCGAAATTCCCGAGAATTCGAATTTAAAAATCTAAAAAGAAGAAATTAGCATCAATGACTTCAGTCTAGCCAGATACACAGCTCGAGTAACCTGAACACAGACTGGAATAGACTCATAACAGTATTGACAAAAACAAATTCTCGAATATCATGCTTAAATATCCAAGCAGTATAAGCGAAATTATGATAAAGAGTGCTGTAAATAAGCTAATATGATTATAGTATTCCGCAATTTAGTAAATACATTCCCTAGTATTCAGTTCCACTTGATTCCCACCTTAACTTTGGTGACATATTTAGTATTAACAAAAAGGTGCTTCTTGATACAAACATTGGTTACCAAACTGTCGGTATCGAAATGAATTGTATGGATCAAAAAATCTTTTGTTTCACAGTAAGAATACCCAGCACACAAGGACCGAGGAAGAACCAACAGTCTACTCATCTGAAAGCTTGGCTGTTATTTTGTACAAATACCAGTAGATCGTCTACGATAATCTCATTTCATCACAGCACTCTTCACTACATTACTTACTATTGCCATTAGAACATCATCGTCAGCGCAATTATATTCTCGCTCTCTTCTCCACATCCAGCTAAACATGCGTATCACAACACCAGTCCTCCTCGCAATGAGTTGCACGAAATCAGTCTACTCGCTTGCAATTGACGGTCCTTCAACAATCAATGGGCAACCAATGCCAGAAAGATGGATCAGATATGATTTGACACCTGTCAACACAACTTCTGACACTTCTCTCGTTTCTCGCACAAACGTCAAGGTCTGTGAGCGGATCCTGGCAATGACTGCTGTTAGTAAAACCTCATATTTCTTTCAATAGCTTTCAGGTCACCCAACAGGCCGAAATGCACGCTCCGGTCTTCGTAAGACGTTCTACAAAGTCATTCAGATTTAGTTGAGAACTGTCCACGGGGCTATGAACGCTCACCTTTTCGTGCCTCAAATGATACTGATTTTTGTAAAGCAATGCCTCACCATCGTCAACATAGTTGTCACTCTCTCTGAAACCGTCGGAGCCGCGATTAAGTCTCTCTCAGACGCAGGTAGCTGCGGCAAGTCTTATGGTTCATGCAAGTCATTTTCTGTTATAAAATCTATTTTTTCCCTAACAAACTAAAGTCGTGGAAATATCTCAATAACTACAATCCCAATTGTTTGGTGGAAAAAGACCTCGAACTTGAAAATTAAATGTGTTCTAACTTCAATTCAGTGGATAATGTTTCTTGGGTATATTATGCGACTGGTAGCAATTGTGATATAACTACAGAAATCAAAACTATCCAAGGAGCTATCAAACAACACTTAACAATCACCGATAGAAATTCCCTGTGTTCCATAGAATATCTCGATCTTATCTACTCGGGTATTTGGAATAGCTTTCTCCTTATTAGACCAACAAACAGCTTTGATAGCACCATATACTGTGAGCCCAGTCTTTCTTTCGGATCATACACATCCAAAAGGAAAAATAACATTTAAATCTACTCCTAAGCTTGTTTTGAGACGGAACATAATAGAATTGCAATAGTTTCTGATGAGAATTAACCGTAACTTGTTCTGTTGAGATGGGTCTCGAAAGTTTCAAGGGCTAATCCTATTTATGTACAAAAAGAGAAATCTCACAGTCCGTATTAAAGTTGCGCAAAATTTTCATCTTGTTCTTAGTCTTGGGGGGCGACTGTCTTATAGGGGGAGTCTTTTCTCTAAAAAAAACACTTTGGGTAAACTTGAGTAGATAGTAGAGTAGTGGTAGTAATCTAACATTTTGATACTATTATATAATCGTCTAAGCTCTAGTTTCTTCTTAAATCTTGAAACAATAATTTCAAGATCACCAGGAGGTGCACAGACTCACGGGATATATAATAGGAAAGTACAATTTCATATTCAAATTTATCAATATCAAAATTTGATTAAAATTTGAAACACAATTTTATATTGATTAAATTAATGTATTATACTTTTCAAATATTGAAAAATAGTTCTCCCAAGATTTATCTCAAAAGAATGAAATTTTAATTCAAAAAAAAACAAATCATATATTCTTTTATTAAAATTTTTAATTTTAATAAAGAATTATATATTCTTTTATAAAAGTATTAATATTGATTTTTTTTAGTTCAATTTTGAGATTTGATGAAACTATTGTATTTCGGATTTATATATGTATGATTTTTAATTGAATTATTAAAATCGTTTTTTTTATATATGAAATTATATTTTCTTTATAAATATCCTATAAATCTGTTCACTTATTAGTAGATTAATATTTGGTTCCAGTTGATATTTGGAAGCTCAAGAAGATATTATAAGTGAAACTATTATTATTGTATAATTCAATACATTAAAAATAATTCAATAAAAGAAGAAGAATATAATAAAAATAGAATAATAAATATAAAATGATTATAATGATTTTGAAAATAATTAGAATATATAAAGGTTTAGTAATATAATAGAGAAAATAGAAAATAGATTTGAAGAAGTTTCAAAAGGAAATGGATTTTTCATTTTATTTTATTTATTTATTTTAATATAATTTATTATTGAATGAATTATATTATTAAATGTTACAGGAGCTGCCTCTAGATCACGTGGAAATGACTAGAGATCTCTTGAAGTGGTTTAGATTAGACTTCAAGTAGAAATTCGATAAAATAATAACTAATTGCAATTCTTATAACTATAATAATAAAACTAATAATTGATTTTAAATATAAAGTTTTATATAATAAAGAAATCCTTTCTTTATATATATAACGAATATCACATAACATCTTAGTTTAAGATTAGCTTGAACTAAGACGATTGTTATTATATAAGAGATAAAGAGATCTCTTAAGGATCTCTTTTCTCTTTAGCTTTTTTATTCTAATTATTTAATCTCTATAAGATGCTTTAGAGTTAAAATTGTAACAATAATAATTAATATTAAATGAAATAATAAAAATAAAGTAATATAATTAGATAATAAAGAATAGATTATAGTAATTAGATATAATAATAGGGAGAGTGAAAGTATATTTTTATTTTTAATAATTTAAGAATAGATTTATTTTTCTAATTAATATATTAAAACTAATTTTTTTATGGATTAAATTATTAAATTTATATTTAATAAGTAAATAAATAATAAAATAAATTTAAAATAATTGAAATATTTTAATAAGCATATTAAGAATCAAAAAAAAAGCAAACATTGAATATTAATATTTAATAGATATAAAAGTTTTGAATTAAAAGCTTTTTAAGTATATTATAAAAAAATGATATTATATATTAATATTTATTATTACATTTAAATTATTAAATTTAATATTTAATACAAATTATTTTAGTAATTTAAATATTTATATAATAATCAAATTAATGGATTTATTAAGATATATATTAATTATATTTTAAAGATTGAATTCTTTATAGTTTTTAAAGTTATATATAAAAAATCAATTATTTTTTAGAATATGAAATCAAGATTTCAAAAAATAAATTTAAAATTATTTAAATTTAAAGCTATATTTTCGAAATACGATATTTGAATTTATATATTTATTCTTTTCTTTTTCAATTTGAATCAATAAATCTTTTAAATTTTTATAATTTAATTACAGCTTTTTTGATTAATTTTAATGCAATTTTAAATAATCTAATATTAATTAAGTTTTTCTATGTTTATATTTAAGATTATATTAATTTTAATTAAAGATATAAAGAGATCAGTTTATAAGAATATGCTTTTAAATATAGAGATTTATATATTTCAAATAATGAATAAAATATTAAGCAAATAGTGATATATGAAAAAAATCTAATTATATTAAAAAGAAATACTTATTAAATAAAAAGCTTTTAATATATTATATTAGTAAAAAATTAATATTTAAATTTAATATAATAAGTATTAAAAAGAAAGGAATTCTAATAAAGAAGTATTTTTCAATTGATATTATAATAAATATGAAAAGATTGAATATAATATAAAAGTTTATTAATATAATATAATAGATCCTAGATTATTATAAGTTTTATAGTTTTAATTAATTGATTTAATGATTGTTGAATAATATAAATTTGAAAAAATGAATTAAAATGAAAATAATCTATGTATTAATAAATTATATTATTAAAATAATTTACTAATAAGAATTTTAGAAACTAAATATTTATAAGATGTTTAGAATAAATAGAATATTTTAAAAAATGATCAAAATAAAATTATTTATAGATTTTTTAAAATAAATGAATTATTTATAAGTTTATTATAATAAATGAATCATTTTGAAAACATAATCAAAATAATTAAGTATAAGTTTTTATAATAAATAAAATATTTCAAAAGATATATCAAAATAATTTATTTACAAGACTTTTAGAATAAATAAAATATTTAAAAAGGATTTTACAAAGAAATAATTATAAGATTTCTAGAAAAAATAAAATATTTTGAAAAAATATTAAAATAAATTATTTATAAGTTTATTATAATAAACAAATTATTTTAAAAATATATCAAATAATTTATTATAAGAATTTTGTAATAAACAAATTATTTAAAAAGGACTTTAGAAATAAAGTATTTGTAAGATTTCTAAATAAATAAAATATTTTGAAATAAATATTAAAATAATTTATCTATAAGACTTTTATAATGAATAAATTATTTAAAAAGAATTTTAAGAATAAAATATTTATAAGATTTTTAAAATAAATAAATTATTTATAAGTTTGTTATATAAATAAAATATTTTGAAAAAATAATCAAATAAATTATTTATAAGATTTTATTATAAATAAATCATTTAAAAACACTATTTAGAATAAAGTATTTTTAAGATTTCTAGAATAAAGAAGTTATTTATAAGTTTATTATGATAAATGAAATATTTTAAAAAGATATTAAAAAAATTTATTTATAAGATTCTTATAACAAATAAGTTATTTGAAAAGGATTGTAGAAATAAAATATTTATAAGATTTCTAGAATAAATAAAATATTTTGAAATAAATATCAAAATAATTTATTAATAAGATTTTTATAATAAATAAAACATTTTCAAAGATATTTCAAAATAATTTATTTATAGGATTTCTAGAATAAAGAAAATATTTTGAAATAAATATTAGAATAAATTATTTATAAGATTTCTAGAATGAATAAAATACTTTGAAATAGATATCTAAATAATTTATTTACAATATTTCTATAATAAATAAATTATTTAAAAAGAGTTTTAGAAATAAAGTATTTATAAAATTTCTAGAATAAATAAAATATTTGAAATAAATATCAAAATAAATTATTTAAAATTTTTTATAATAAATAAAATATTTTAAAAGAGATATCTAAATAATTTATTTATAATATTTTATAATAAATAGATTATTTCAAAAGGATTTTAAAAATAAAGTATTTATAAACATTTCTAGAATAAATAAAAATATTTTGAAATAATATTAGAATGAATTATTTATAAAGATTTCTAGAATGAATAAAATATTTTGAATAGATATCTAAATAATTTATTTATAATATTTCTATAATAATTCAAATTATTTTGAAGAATATATTAAAATAAATTAATTATATAATTGTTTAAATAAAATATTGAATAAATTATAATTAAATATTTTGAATAGATAAATTATTTTTAAAGGAATTTTTAAATTAAATTTATATAAATATTATAGGATTATTTTTAAGAATATTTAGAAGTTTTATATTAAATTAAAAATCTAAAAGATTAAAAGATAAAACAAAAAGTTTTATTTTTTTATATATATATAATAAAATATAATAAAATAAAAAAGCTTAATATTATTTGTAATATTATTTTCTTTTTTTAAGATATAATTTTTATATTCTTATTTAATAAAAGATTTCAGAATTCTAATATTTTAACTATTTAAATAAATAGAATTTATATATAATAATTTTAAATTAATAAAAATTATAAATCCTAAATGAATTTCTTATATAATTTTATATTTGTAATTCAAAATAATTCAATTTAATATTTAAACAATATTTTTGAAAATATTTAGAAGCTTTATCATTGAATTAACAGTTTAAAAGATTAGAAATAAAACTAAAAGTTTTATTTTATTTTTATATATATAATAGATAGAATAGATGAAAAGGGGTTTAATATTATTCAATTATAATAAATCTTATCTCAAAATTAAGTATTTTAATATAATTATATAATTCTCTTTTTCTTTAAATATTATAAGAATAAATTGTTATTAAGGTTTTTGTAATAAATAGATTATTTTAAAGAAGTTATTAAAATAAATCATTTTAAGAAATTTATAATAAATAAATTATATAGAATAAATTATTTATAAGCTTTTTATAATAAATAAGATCTTTTAAATAAGATATCCAAATAAATTATTTACAAGAGTTTTATAATAAATAAATTATTTATAAGAACTTTATAATAAGTAAATCATTTAATAAATATTTTAGAAATAAAATT